TCCATCTCCAGCCTTCCACAAACAGAGGCCAGGGACACCATTCCTACCCTCTGGCTAATACCACTCCATGGCCCCAACCTCCATGACTTTATCTCACTTCTCTTTAAACTCTGTTCTAGTTCTAGCCTTCACAGCCTCCTGCAGCAAGGAGTTCCACAGGTTGACTATTTGCTTTGTGAAGAAGAACTTTCTGTTATTAGTTTGAAGGCTGCTACCCATTCATTTCATTTGGTGTCCTCTAGTCTTTCTACTATGGGAACTAATGAAGAACTTCTCTTTATGCACCCTCTCTACACCACTCCTGCTTTTATAGACCTCTATCATATCCTCCCTTGGTCTCCTCTTTTCTAAGCAGAAAAGTCCCAGTCTCTTTAGCCTCTCTTCATATGGGACCTGTTTCAAACCCCTGATCATTTTAGTTGCCCTCCCTTCTCCCACCCTCTCTCTTCCCCTCTCCCACCTCCTTTTCCCAGTCTCCCCATGTTTTGTTCAATAAAGAGAGTTTCTATTTTTGAACACACATGTCCTTTATTTTGTACATCAGGAAGGGGGGCTAGAGAGGGGTAAGTGGAAGAAGGTGAGGGAAGAATGGGGTATGAGCCCCCGATGGGGAGAACTGGGGTGGCTCTGTGGGCTCCTCGGGGTGGAAGCTCTCCTGCAGCCCCCCGATTGACCCCTCTCCCCCCGGATGGCAGCCGGCGGCACGTGCAGCCGGGCTGATGGCCGAGTGCTGTGATGTGCCAAGTGTGGGCACTCAGGGCACTCCAAGCCAGGACTGCTTTGCAGGTGGGGAACCCCTGAGAACTGCCTGTCCGGGGTGGAGGTCAGGACCCTTTAAGCACAGCCCTCGGCTAGCCTGAGACAGCAGCTCCACGCTCTGAGTCCTAATCTGATGCCCTGCCGGCACTGCTTCCGGCCATCCTTAACTTCGGTTAATGCTAATTCGAACTAGTTTTTAGGTCTAGATGCACTAATTTGAATTAGTTTAGTTCAAATTAACTAATTCAAATTAAGTTAGTTCGAATTAGTGCTGTAGTGTAAACATACCCAATGTTAGTGCTTTCACATCTGGATAACTCAAAAATTACTAAAATATTTTTGTTTCAATTTCTTATCCATTCTCTCCCCCCAAAAAATCAGTTGTGAGATGAGATGAAGCATGAGAAATTTTAGACCAAGAGACCACTTTGGAGGAAGTCATCAGTCATTAAAAATAAGAGCATAGAGTGTCATCTCATACAAAACTATTGTTTCAATTGGTCCTGAACACACCTCTAGAATGTTGATTAGTAGTTCTTTCTGGAACAAATGGCCATTGCTGTAAAGGCAGTGTTAGTCCAGGCCAAGATTTTGATCCATATCCCAGCTGTGTGAAAATACACTATGGGCCAAATGCGGAGTGTAGAATATTTAATAAGGTATCAGTGGGACTACACATGTGAGTAAGGAAAGGAGGATTTGGCCCTCAGTTTATAAATCCTTATGAAGCCAGCCCTCACACAACATCTATGGACTTCACTGTCCTCTACTAGCAAAACTGTTCTTGAGATTTGTTGTCAGCAAAATTACATTCCATGCTCATTTGCACTGCTAGGCTGTATTTTAAAGATACTATATTTAGCTGAATTGTAATGTGGTAGTATAATATTTTCTGTTTCTTGTTGAAATAACATCTGCTGTTTCTTTTGTCTGACTGCTGCTTCTTATATGATCAGAAATCTCAATTTTGGGTTGGGGAATGATTTCTTCAGGTTGAATGTCACCCGTACCTCAACCAAAGCAAGCTGCTGGCCTTCTGCAAATCCAACAGTATCCTCCTTGAAGCGTATTGTGCTCTGGGATCTCAGAGAGACAAGAATTGGTAAGGAAAGAAACTTGGGTGAGCTCCCAGGTTTTCAAACCTCAATAATGGGTTGGAAGGAGAGGAAATGCCTCAGTAAAAAAAAGAGCTGGAAAAGACCTAGAATATTGTCTTCAGATTGTACTGGCATTGTCCTCAGTAGGCAGAGGTGACTGCATTCCTGATCCCAGAAATGTTCCCTGTTTGTCTGTTTCCCCTGTAGGATAGATCAAAGTGTCCCAGTTCTGCTAGAGGACCCAGTATTGGGTGCAGTTGCCAAAAAACACAACCGAAGTCCTGCTCTAGTAGCCCTCCGCTACCAGCTACAGCGCGGTATTGTGGTCCTCTTTAAGAGCTTCACCAAAGAGCGTATTGAAGAAAACTCCCAGGTAAATTAGTGAGAGAAGAGAATGAGGGGAACACCTCCCATGTGTGGATTTAAATGAGATGCCAATGATGTTGTGCCCTTGTACAGTGTGGTATTGCAGGATCCTGCCCGAAAACTATCAACTACTGTGTAGTGCAGTTCTCAAGCAGGTTCTCTATTCTGAGAGAGAACTTTTTCCACTTCAATATTTGAACAGCGTAACTTAGTATCCCCTAGAGAACAAATAATGGGGAGAAAAAACATGATGGCTTTCTTGTCACTTCCACAGGCAAAATTTTGAGGGAGCAACTGATTTATGGAGCCCTTTCACAAAATAGCTAAATCTGCTCTTGCTACCAGATTGGAATAAAAGCCATCTCTGAGCTTTGGAAAGACAAATGAACTTCCAATATAAGGCTATGTCTAGACTGCAAGCCTCTTTCGAAAGAGGCTCTTTCGAAAGAGAGCGTCTAGACTGCACATTGAACTTTCGAAAAAGCGGCTTGCTTTTTCGAAAGAAAGCATCCAGTGAGTCTGGATGCTCTCTTTCGAAGAAGCCCTATTTACATTCAAGAACGCCTTCTTTCGAAAGAGGAACTTTTGAAAGAAGGCGTTCTTCCTCGTAAATTGAGGTTTACCGCCATCGAAAGAAAAGCCGCGTTCTTTCGATTTAATTTCGAAAGAACGCGGCTGCAGTCTAGACGCAGGTGAGGTTTTTTCGAAAAAAGGCTACTTTTTTCAAAAAAAACCCTGAGTCTGGACACAGCCTAAGTGGGCACATTTCCTGCCACAGACCGTCCCTAGATTTTGCTCTGTTCTACCCCACCCATTTTAGCCCCGTATCTTAAACATCATTCCATACAAGATCAGACTGACTGACTGATACTAGATTAAGAGAAAGAACAAAAGGACATTACATGTACAGGAGAGAGCACGGTGTGTATCTCCTCTGTGACATGCCCTTTACTTTCCAAAATGGCAGCTATCATTGCAGACTGCAGATTGCTTGAAGTTTAAAGGTGATCAGTGGGGGCGACAGTAACCCCTGGCTCTAGAGCAAAGCTGGGGGGGACAGCTCCATGCCATAGAAGGCTGGCTGCCTCTAGCTCTGCCCCCTTAGCGCTGCCTGGACCATGGTGCATCAGCCCCCAGCTCTCAGAGTCACACAGAGTAGCACTGTGGCACTATGGAGATGATTCAAAGGGGCCCAGAGCTCTAGCTCTGATACTGTGGTAGCAGCCAGAGCCCTACATTCACTTAAATCACTGGGCCCTGGGACAACTGTCCTCTTTGCTTCCTCTCATTGGTGGGCCTGGGTGAAATGCACAGAAAAGAAAATCACAGCAGTTACATATATAGATGCCTTTCACTTCTGAAATACCTAATATACAGTGGAAAGAGCAGGCCCAGACTAATGCACATCTTTCTTTTTCTTTAGGCTTGACGTGAGACTTGTGCATCCATGAATGCACGTGTATCCTGCAAGAGTAACCCAGTGTTTAATCCTGTCTTTGTCAGGTTTTTGATTTCCAGCTCTCTGAGGAGGACATGAAAACCATTGATGGGATGAACAAAAATCGTCCTTATGTGCTGTTAGAACAGTAAGTCGTAATACTTTGTACTTATTTTCAAACTCTGTGGCGGGGCAGAGAAATCCAGCAGTGGTTACCCACAAAGAAATAAGGTTTTGTGATGTACTGACCCTGTGCTGACAAAGGGGATGTGTCTAGACTACATGGCTCCGTCGACGGAGCCATGTAGATGAGGCAGGACGACAAATGGAAATGAAGCAGCGATTTAAATAATCGCTGCTTCATTTAAATCAAAATGGCCACCACGCTGTGCTGATCAGCTGTTTGTCGGCACAGCGCGGCAATGAAACAAGGTTTACAGGATCTGCCAACGAAGGGTTCTGGGGTTGGCAGATCCCCATCTAGACTGCTGCGCTGTGCTGGCAAACAGCTGATCGGCACAGCACAGCAGCCATTTTGATTTAAATGAAGCGGTGATTATTTAAATCGCAGCTTCACTTTCCTTTTTCAAGTAAACTAATCTACATGGCTCCATCGACGGAGCCATGTAGTTTAGATGCACCCAAGAAGTACTTAAGACCATAGTATTAGGACTGGAATGGAGTCAGAGTTTAAGGTGAGAAGGCAAAACCCAGAACTTAGGCTATGTCTACACAGCAGCGTTATTTTGGAATAACTAGCATTATTCCAAAATAACACAGTCCACGTCCACACTGCAAGCAGTTATTTCGACATAATGTCAAAATAATGATGAACTAGAGGAGATCTCACTCCGACTCCTATAACCCACATTTTACAAGGAATAAGGGCAGTCGGAAGAAGAGTGCTCTTTCTTGGACTTCCTGCTGTGTAGACAGCACCAAAAGCTGAAATAAGCTATTCCAACCTAAGCTGTGTAGACGTACCCTAAGTCTGATGTCCTGTATATCCCAGACTGCCAACACCATCTTAAACCCCCACACTGAATCCAACACCAAAGCCAGACCCAAGCATTCAAGCCTACAGGAGATGAAAAAATTATGGGCCAGACACAGAGGCTGCATCTAGATTGGCATGATTTTCCGGAAATGCTTTTAACAGAAAAGTTTTCCATTAAAAGCATTTTCAGAACAGAGCGTCTAGATTGGCACAGACACTTTTCCGCAAAAGCACTTTTTGCGGAAAAGCGTCCATGCCAATCTAGACGCGCTTTTCCACAAAAAAGCCCCGATTGCCATTTTCGCGATCGGGGCTTTTTTGCAGAAAACAAATCTGAGCTGTCTACACTGGCCCTTTTGCACAAAAGGGACTTTTGCCTGAATGGGAGCAGAATAGTATTTCCGCAAGAAGCACTGATTTCTTACAGTAGGAAATCAGTGCTTTTGCGGAAATTCAAACAGCCAGTGTAGACAGCTGGCAAGTTTTTCCAGAAAAGCGGCTGATTTTCCGGAAAAACTGGCCAGTCTAGACACAGCCAGAGAATAGGAGAAACTGAGATGCACCAATGTCTGAGACCGCCACAATGGCAGCGAAATGGACTTCGGAGGTCATTTATTCAACCCTGGAGAGTGTGGTAGGAGTGATTGCAGTAGCTCAAATGCTGCTCTTATTTGGCCCAGTATCCCAAAATGTTCCTAGTAGTTGGTTATCTTGCCTAGCCTTGAATTTTCCCAGTTTGAAGGGAAAACCACAACTTCCCTTGTATGCCTAGGTCATTGTCTAACCCTCCTAATGGTTATAAGGATTTCTGGTGTTTTCAAGTAGAGATGGGCCTGAGCTGAAAATCTAGAATCAGTCCAGAGTCCGCCTCTCGGCCCTGTGTTCTGTTCTAGTGGCATCTGCATAGGGATACCCCTGGCAGTGCAGAGCCCAGTGGAGCCAGGGCCTTTGCCATACTCTCCAGAGCCATGGCATACAGGGATACACTGAAGGTGTTTCTGGGGATAGGGTGTGGCCAGAGTGCTGCTGTGCTCCAGCAATCCCCAGCCAGCAGGGAGCATCTTGGGGATTAGCCCAAGGATCAGAGTTACAAACTTCTCCTGGAGGACACATCCTCTCCCCGCTCCTCAGCTCTGTACAGTGCCACTGTGCCTAACAGTCCTGAGCTCTGCAGATATTTGAGTCTTAAATATTCTTTTATCTGGATGTCCTTTATGACTGGAATGGGGTAAACCAAAACACAGCCAGATTTTGGATCCAGACCTGGATCTCAACTTTATAGGCTGGGCCTATGTGCATTTTAAAAATAATTTTCCATCTTCATCACAGCCCAATATTATTTGTTCTAACCTCAGCGTTTACTAGGAATAATCAGCTCTCATGCCAAGCTTCTGTTCTCAGCAATTACAGATTGCTTCCTGCACCTATGCATAACTAAGGTGTAGAGTATATTGCAGCACTGCCAGGTTTCTACTCGGCTTCCTCGCACCCAGGACCCCACCGCTTACTCCACTAACCCCATGTCCTGGCCTCTGGTGGCCCCTCCAGGGTGCTGCTGGCCCTGAAGGCTTCATTACCTCTTGGGGGTCCTGCCACCCACCCTCCCCACAGATTCTGCAACCCAACATCCATGGGGTCCAGGCCAGCAGCTCTGGAGGCTGCGCTGCCACTCTGAGTCCTGCCACTAGGCCGGGGCTCTGCAACTGCCACCAGCTGTGGCTGGGTTGTCAACTCTCCCGGACCAGATGGACCAGACACTATTAGCGGCAGTGGCATCCAGTTCAGGAGAGTTGGCAACTGTAGGTGTGATCCCTGCCTGACATGACAAGCTGTGAAAAGGTTGGAGAGGACACAATGGAGCATCCTCACCCTAAAAATAATTCCAGCACCACTGCAGTTATGTCACATTCAGTCATGTGTTCTCTGAGCCTCAACAGCCAAATGAACACAGGTCTTAGTTAAAAACTCTGCAGTAATGTAATGTCATTTCAATAGACACAATACGCTGACTAGAGCATGTGCTCAAACAGTGCAGTAAGGGGCCTATAGAAAACCTTGGGACTGGTAGAAAGTGTCATATTTCTGCTCTTTGAGATGCCTGCATTTTCCACTCAGCTATCCTAGTAATCTTGCTTCATAAATGTTATCTTTATTTTCTAGATTTTTGGAGCACCCTCAATTTCCATTTAGAGACAAATAATAGAAAGGATCCTTTCCTGGTTTTGTTTCATGCTTAAGGAATATCCAGTGTACATTTTGTCTCCTTGCCCCACTCCAGTGATTAGTCTTACAGAAGAAGCCCAGCTTGTGTTGGTGCTATCAAGAGATCTACACCGTACACTTAAACAGAAATTCTAAACAACTCTCTCTGAATGGAATGGTTCTTGGTTGCTAATGGGGGCGGGGAGGTGTTTGTATAATGCACTTAATAAATCTAGTTTATATTCTTTGGTAATTGTGTTTCTTTACTTCATTCTCAGAGCCAGCAGACATGCTCTGTGTGAGGGTTATACCCACAATGTGGCTGGTTCTCTGGTGTGATAAACGAGGGGGGTCTGTCCACTTTGGCAGTCATTCAGGTCACTCAGCAGCTTGCAGGACTGGACCCAGAACTTAACAGAGACTAGAGACTTAAAAATCCCACAAAATGAATTCTTTAACTCTGACAGATCTGAAAACATGTAGGCTACGTCTAGACTACATCCTTTTTTCGGAAGAGGGATGTAAATTAGACGTATCGCAATTGCTAATGAAGCGGGGATTTAAATCTCCCGCGCTTATTAGCATAAAAATGGTTGCCGCTTTTTTTCCGTCACGGAGCTTTGTCGGAGACAAGCGCCCATCTAGACGCTGATCTTTAGAAAAATAAAGCCTTTTCCAAAAGATCCCTTATCCCTCTTGAAAGAGGCCCAGCCTGTGTATGAAGGAACTTCACCATCAGGGTGACACACACTTGATTCAAATCTGTCTAGTTTATAGAACTCAGATTGCGATGCTACTTTCATTTCTTAAGTGACCAACTTTGATCTGTATCTTTACTATTTACAATCAATTAAAATCTCTCTTGATAGTTAATAAATCTGTTTTATATTTTACCTAAAATGTGTTTCGGTTGAAGTGCTTGGGAAATCTGCTCAGGAAGAAGAGTTGATGCATGTCCTCTCCCCACTGAGGCAGGGAGGGGCCAATTAGGGAAATAAACTTACATTGGTCAGGCTTCTGACCCAGGAAGACACTACAGTTCTGAGGTCCTATGCTGGGGAGCTGTGGGGAATTGGCTGGAGCCTCTCTACTGTTGGTTCATGAGTGGCTGATGAAAGCATTCATGTAACCCACTTGGGTGTGTGTACGAGTGCAGTACCTGGTTTGCAATTTCCTATAGCATCACAGCGTAAGCGGGAGCCCAGGCTGGTAAGACAGACAGCTCAGCAGTATCCCAGTTCCAGGTTGCACCCAGGGAACCTGTTACATTTGGGAATCCTGCTTCCCTAGTACAATAAAATGGCAAGTTGTTTTCCACTACATTTCTCTTCCACTGCGAAAAAGGATCAAGATTTTAGCTTTAAATGCAGAATTCCAGCTCTTCAGTTAGTAAATAGGAACAGCTACATTCAAGACAAGGGATTGTGATAATCAATGTCCCCTTTAATTTCTTCCATCCAAGTGTGGATTTTTTTCCATCCATGTGCAGAATAAATTTTTATGTATACTGAGGCATGTGCTAATGTAGAAACAAAAAACCCCGGTGTGGGCACTCTGCTAATTAGTTGTGCAGCATTTGAATCTCTCCTGACAGGCTGCACAAGTGCACATTTTACAGGGAACATTGGTGATAATCCCCTTACTTCCACCCTCTTACTACACCACTGAGTCACACCCATCCATGTATCTGAGAAGAGAATTTGACTCACTGGCATGATGCTAATTTATGAATTGGTCCCGAATATTATAAGATCCTGCAAATAATGTGGCCAATAGAAGCACATGGAATACAGCAATGAGCCATGATAGGGTATGTTTTACTGCTCCACTATTGCCTCAGGCATGCCGAGTGTCACTTCTCTGCTAAAATAGAGCTATGTCAAAGTACACCAGCTGTGGCTATGGCCCATAACCTCTAAGAAACCCACCTACCTTTGATGCATCATGCCTGGTCTGCTGTTGGTATATAAGCCAGTTTGTTAGCCAGAGATAAAATTTGGGAATTTGATTTCTGATACTCTGATGTTATATCTGTAAACAATGAACAAAGACACAGTGTGCTACTTCTGCCAGATGGGTTTGTTAGTACAGTGAGAAAGAAAATGAGCAGAGCTAAAGTGTTATTTGATATGGTGAAAGTAAAATAATATAAACATACATTGGAAGGCTGCTTGGCTTCTTGCAAGCCAAAGTCAAGCAGCAGCCAGTTAGGGTAAGTCTACACTGCGGTGCTATTTTGGGATACTTCGGGTATCCCAAAATAGCATTTTCTGCATCTCTACATTTCAAAATAATGGACATGCTATACCAACATCCCTGTGAACTTCATTCCACAATGATTAAGGGATTTGTCAGAATAGAACTCTATTTCAAAATAAGCTCAAAATGAGGCATGCAATAAGGCTAGAGGCGCAATGTAGATGCACCCTTAGAACGGGCAAGGTGGGGGTAGGGGGAGGAAGATAGAGGACAAACTAAAAGACAAAGAAAAGCCTAACTGTGGCCAGGACAGAACCTCACTCCTTATCCCTCCCATGGGAATAGGATACAAAAGAGGTGTTACCAAACCACTGAATTCACACCCTTCGAAATGGAACATGACCATGAATGTAAGAGACAGGACCAGAAGCATACACTGGAGGTATATTTAGAGAAGGTGGGAACGGGCACACGGGTAAAGCTCTGCAGCATGAGAGCTATTGATATGCTTGCTTGAAACTAACTCCAATAAACATCTCATTGCTTGACCTTCAGACTTTGGCCTTATATGGTTTCACGAGGAGTAACGGTAGTTTGGACTAGGAAGCCTAGTCTGAACTACCTAGTTCGTGCCGCGTGTAGTCGCGCGGCACGGAGTCCACACTAGCGGACATTTAAAAATGGCGGCACCCGGCGAGATGCAAATGAAGCCCGGGAAATTCAAATCCCGGGCTTCATTTGCAACTCCGGTTGCCTACATTAACACCCTAGTTCGAACTAGGATGGTAGTGTAGACATACCCTTCGTCTGCATTAGGAAGATAAATTGGGAGTTACTTAAATTCTTCCAGGCCCACGCTTTGCTTGATGCAAAATGAACTGGATTATTATTAAGCACCAATAATGTACTCAGCCCTGTACCAGGTATCACTCTGGGAATAACTAGTAGGTCTTTTCTACCCTTAATGTTTGTGATTCATAGAAGACAGCAGGTGAGCAAGATAGGGATGGGCATGAGACAAAGTTAAAGGGCTTGTTTTTCTTCATCCGCAATTACTTTTTGGACATAGCAGCAACAGGTAATGTTCAATAGTGCGTAACCTTCTGCTTGTTGCTACCTTTACATTCATGTGAAACAAAACATGCCAAGGACAATGCTGCAAACAAGGAGGCAGAGCCGGATTAAGGCATGAGCTAGCCGGGCAGCTGCCCAGGGTGCCAACCTATGGGGGGCGCCTAATGGCAGCTGTAAGGGGCTCCCAGTGCCCCTTATAGCTGCAATGAGGTGCTCACAGCATCAGCCAGCAGCGCCCTTTCCCCCCACGGCTCCATGGCCCTGCACTGCCAAGGTTGGCCTACTCCGGGGTGCGTGCCAGCGGCGGTAGCCAGGCTGGGCCGGGCCAGGCACGTGCGTCCTGCCACCGCCAGCTCCGCGTGCCCTCTCCCACGTGCCGGTGCGGGGGCAGGGTCGCGCATGCGCCCTCCCCCAACCCAGGGCGCAATTAAACTGTCTGTCCGGGGCGCCGGAATGGCTCGGTCTGGCCCTGCAAGGAGGCAAAGGCAGTGCCTCTGACACTTGTCAATTAACTGTTATTTGTTCTCTGGAGGCAATGACTTAAACTCATAAACATTTTAGCAAACAACTCTTCTCACAGCTTTCTGCCTCATGTTTTTATTCAGCACAGGCAATGTGAATGCTGATGTCTGTACAGACAGTATTTGAAAGTTGGAAAAAGGAGTTTTGGAGGAGAAAATTAACCTTTAACTCCACTGAAATACTAAAAGGCTACAGCTAGACTGGCATGATTTTCCACCATTTTCGCCGAAATACTAAAAGGCTACAGCTAGACTGGCATGATATTCCACCATTTTCGCCGCTGGGACTTTTTTGCACAAAACAAATCTGAGCTGTTTACACTGGCAATTTTGCCTGAATGGGAGCAGCATAGTATTTCCGCAAGAAGCACTGATTTCTTACATGAGATCGTCAGTGTTCTTGCGGAAATTCAAGCGGCCAGTCTAGACACAGCCAAAGTGTTACTGATGGTCTAGGAATTCTTTATCCAACTTTAGAGCATAGGACGGACTAGATGGCTTCTTGAGCTCTCTTCCAGCACAACATTTTTGTTATTCTATAAAGAAAAAAAAACCTCTACTGAACCACCCTGGACAAGGAGAGCTTTTCAGAAAGACAAAGTAGAGCATATTGCTGAAAATATAGCTATTTCCTTTCCTTATTGCCCTGTGACACCTTTATGTACCTTAAATAGGATTCTGTGCTGCAGAAGCTCAGAGCAAAGGAGGAAACTGAGATGGCTTCAAACAGCCTTTGCTTCTCTTAATCCTAGTCGGGCTGGGGGCTGGATGGATCCCTTGTGTATTTTAGGCCACCCTATAGGCCTCAGCAAGTAACAGCAGCTTCCTTGGGCTGCTCTGTGGATTGCAGCAACATGAACTACAGCCCTGCTCCTTACACATTTCTCCCCTTCCGAGCATGCCTTGATAGCATGCTAGTGAGGGATGTTGAGAACAGGGCCGGTTTAGGAAGTGCGGGGCCCAATTCAAACAATTTCAACGGGGCCCCGCAGCAATTTTGGTTGAGCAAAAAAAAGCACACAAAAGTTTCAACGAGGGGGGCCAGGAATTTTTTTAATTGAAGGGGGAAAAAAAAGCACAAAAAATCCCCCGCCAACACACACACACCCTCCCGCAGCACAGGAAAACCCTGCGCTAAACTCACACCTCCTGTGGCACAGGCAGCCGACACACTCCTCCTCTGGGGCTGGCAGATTTGTATAAATTTTGGTGGTGCCCCATTAGCCACACCCTCTGACCCCCGTTAACCAGGTCTCTGGAGGCAACACGCTCAGGGCAAGATGGACACATGTCCAGAAGTAAAAGGTGTCCTGTCACCCCTCTCGAAGGACTTTTCCCATCATCCTCCTACCAACAGGGATTAGTATGGCTCCCACCAAGCTCCCCTCATGCAACTCTCTTGCAATTGCATTAACCCAACGTGTTATTCTTGGGGGCAGAGAGGCAGGGGGGAGAGGTCCCTCTAAGGCTATGTCTACACTCGCGGCTTCTTGAGCAAGTACAGCCGTTCTTGTGCAAGAACCCACAGAGCAGCCACACTGCCCACCTGCTCTAGCGCAAGGAAATTTACAGTAAGCGTGGTAAGAGAGAGTGTCTTGTGCAAGAGCTACGCTCTTTTCTAACAGGTGTAAGCTCTCTTGCGCAAGAGGGCAGTGTGGATGCTCGGCAGGGATTTCTTGCACAAGAAACCCCTATGGCTAAAATAGGGGCCCAGCTCTGAATAGTAACTCGCCGCGCATGGCGCCCGGCACACTTCTGGGTTTCAGGGTGCGGGGCCCCTTAGGTGCGGGGCCCGATTCAGGGGAATCGGTCGAATCGGCCTAAGGTCGGGGCCCGATTCAGGGGAATCGATCGAATCGGCCTAAGGTTGCCCCTGGTTGAGGGGACAGCCTTGGGCTGCCTTTCACAGTGTATGTCCTTACTCAGGAAGAATTCAGTTTTTTAGGGCCCTTGGGCTGCCTTTCACAGTGTATGTCCTTACTTTTTAGGGCCTCTTTACCCCACTCTGGATCTTTAATCCAGCAAAAAGGGGTTGGTGTGAGAGTGAGGCTCTCTTTTGTGCATGGAATATGAAGCTGAAATTCCTTTGTTTGCCAGTGAAAGCTATAAGGAGAATGGCTTGGGGAATGTGTTTGTTAATGTCCCAGTTCTGATCATACTTTGCCTGTGATGTCATGAACCACTTGAGTGCCAAAAAGAGCGAATGTCCAAGCGAGTTGTTTGCTCCCTTTGCAGCGATAGGAAAGAGGGCGTTAATGCCTCTTTTCAGCTCTTTTCCCAGCTGATTAAATATCAGCTCCATACACACAAACCCTCTGAGCATATGCAATACAAAACAAGGACTAATCTATGATCCTCATATTAAGCAACTGTTTGGGGTTTTGGGTTTTTTTGCCCTTTTTTTTTTTTTTGACCCCTTAGGGGACTGCAACTGTATGTTTGGCTACTCCCTCCGTTTCTAGGTCTCAGTAAATAAAAGTAACAGGTGCATTTGCTCACTGGCTCACACAGGAGTGCAGCAACCTTTCAACCTTCAAGAAAGATTCAAAGAACTGGTGAAAAACCATTCAGTGGAGGACAATGGATTTCCACAACGCTATGTCCATGGTGATGAATGATGGACACAGAATTCCTGTGGTTGGATTTGGGACCTATGCACCTGACACAGTGAGTAAACCTTTTACTGCTTATTCCACAATAGGGAGTTTGTGTTTGGTATATGAAGTTTGGTGCTGTGCTAGAAGAAAAGTGACTGACACACTAAATCTAAGTAGTGAGAGTAGAACTGTACAGTTTCCTCCACTGAGCTCTCCCCATCCTAACAGGGAGCACTTTCTACAATGCCTAGAATGGGCCCCATGCAGGACTGCAATGCACTTCAGCTCTGACTTGCTGTCTGGTTAGCTGTTCCATTCATGGGCCCACAGGCCTGTCTGCAACACACCCCAGTCCTGACCTGCTGCTTGGTTTGCTGTTCCAGTTCTCTCCCCACTTACCTGTCAATTGTTCCATGCTGGGTATTTTTGTACACTTGTTTCAGATTTCTCTAGAAGGAAATGGAGGCCATGTAGTTTGTTCACAGATTGTTCTTTGTTGTGTTTTATCTTCTGAGTGCCTTTCTGACAATACAAATATGTGCATCGCTGCAGCTCCTGTTGCTCCTATGTGATGTTTTGGAAGCCCATGCCACACCTGAATTCCACCTGCTGTGCTTAAACCCCATCACAGTCACATCTCCATGGCTTTCAGAGCTGTAATGTATGCCCCATTGTTTTTCACTCTTTTGCACTCTTGTAATTTTATGTCATTCTCTTTCTCCGGACCATTTAAAATTCTATTCACCTAAATCAGGAGATGTGCCTTCAGGACTATGGTGCTTTTCAGGAACATCCCTCCAACAATAATACTAAGCTGATGATAGGTGTGTGTCACTTTTGAATAAATATGGGGAAGAAGTTGGTGGTCTTATTTATGTCATTACTTAAAGTCTTCGAGTAACATCTCTCTCTCTCTTCCCCTCTCTCTCATTGCACAACTACATGGCAATACATGTTCTGTGCCAGATAAACAATAAATGTGCTGACGTCATTCAAAACTGTGTTTGCTTCATGGGGTCAGCAAACAAAGACTGCCCTTGAAAAAAACAGGTGATTTAGGTAATTGGTTATAAAGTCTTTTATCTCAGTCACTAGTTCAGAGTTCATCCAAATTAGCAGACTAAAAATCCCTGTATTGTACTTACAGTGTATACAGCTCTCACACTCATATGTCCTGAGCACTTTGCAAAGCACTTTGCAATGGAAGGTAAATATCACTAGCCTATACATGTTATACATGGGGAAACTGCAGTGAAGGACTTGCCCAGGTCACCCATCAAGAGCCAGCTCTTGAAATCAGATCAGCGTGGGCTGGCTCTTGAACCCAGGCAGAATCCCTTTGACCTCACATTCACTCATGTACATTTGGCTGCAGGATCAACAACTGCTCCTTTTACTTTTTGAAGCAGCCCTCTTGTGCTGATTGAGGTCAGTGCAGTTGCCTGAATAACATAGGATTGCAAGTAAAGGCCCTTCATTATCAAATGCAACGCAGTCAGTCAGTCAGTCAGAGTTAAACCTAGAGCTCCTTACTCCATAGTTATTCAGATCTTCATGCAGAACTCTCATTGGCCTGGATAAGAACCTGAGAACTCGACTCATTGTGTAGATTATCAACACTCCTGGGCTGTGTCTAGACTGGCAAGATTTTGTGCAAATACTTTTAACGGAAAAACTTTTCTGTTAAAAGTATTTGCGCAAGAGAGCATCTACACTGGCACGGATGCTTTTGCGCAAAAGATGTGCTTTTGCACAAAAGCATCTGTGCCAGTGTAAACGCTCTCTTGTGCAAATACTTTTAACGGAAAAACTTTTCTGTTAAAAGTATTTGCGCAAGAGAGCATCTACACTGGCACGGATGCTTTTGCGCAAAAGATGTGCTTTTGCACAAAAGCATCTGTGCCAGTGTAAACGCTCTCTTGTGCAAATACTTTTAACGGAAAAACTTTTCTGTTAAAAGTATTTGCACAAAATCTTGCCAGTCTAGACGCAGCCCTGTGGTTCAGTTTGTGATACTCTATGATGTAGATCAAGGGCTAATGAAATCAATAGAGGCTGCACTGGTGTAAATGAAGACAGAACTTGGCCCCTCGCTTTTGAATGATTGTTGATTTCAAGTGTGGTTCTAGTCTGAAAACTGACTCTGTAAAAGTTTACACTATCATTCCATATTGTTGTCTTCCAAGTGATTTCAGGACTAAATGTTTTTAATTTACAACCGTAAAGATGTGTTTTCTGACTGCTGGCTTTGCAAAATTGACTGGCAAGCTGTGTTCTTTTCTTCTCGTGCATCATCATCAGTAGAAAAGTTGTTTGAAGGCCAAGTTATGCTCACAGTGATATCCGTGTCAGCCCATTGTCTTTAATACATTGGCCTATAGCCCTATGGAATTTAATATGGATGTAAGTAATAAGATACTATAGATATTAAACAGTGGTTTTTAAATAGTATCTGAAAGCTTACTGAATGTAATAGAAATTGATCGCTTTTCTGAAGCATTTTTAAACAACCTGAGATTTTAATGGAGAGCTACATCTGTTCTACAGAATCTATAGATTGGTTTAAAAATTCTGTAGAAATACGGCCATTCACTATTAAATTTTATAGAATTTTTTATAACAAAATGTATTTTTTTCACTAAAGTAAGCAGAGATGAGTGTCTGTGTAATAAGATGGCATTTTCACAGTCACTTTTTTCATACTGGAACCACACTCTAAAATATCATCCCAGAGCCAGATATGTTGAGACTTTGTTTCTTTCTGACTTTAATGTATAGGTTCCAAAAAGTAGGTGTGAAGAGGCTGTCGCCATATAGATGGTGCCTATTTCTATGAGAATGAGGAGGAGCTTGGTCGAGCCATTCGAGAGAAGATTGCAGATGGAACGGTCAAAAGAGAGGACATATTTTACACAGGGAAAGTAAGTTGGTTGTGTTCTAAATCCCACCATTTGTTCTCTGCTTCTTTCTGTGTTGCAAGAGAATGGCAACTGCAGTGAGGAGGTAAGTACAAGTTGCAGTAGGCTGGCAGGATTTGCCTGAAACACCCATCCATTGCCAGGCACTAATTCTGTGGCAAAAGGATTATATGCATTAGTGCCAGTTGGTGCTTTAGCAGGCATGGTTCCTAGATACAGTTACCAGAGGGAAAGTACATTGAACTGAAGGTCAGGGTGACTGTAACTTAAAGACAGAAACATTATAGGGATGCTAATTATCCCAAAACCAAGCATTACTGATCAGGAGATTTAAGGTTACACTTCAAAGAAATCCAAATATATTAGGCTATGGAAATGCACAGATCAGGCACCTAACCAATTTTAACTCCTCCAACCATAACTATGCATACAATAGCCATATCATTTGGATTAGCATATTGTTTGTAGTCCCAGGCTGCATCAAATTGAATATTGAAGATACCATAGATGTTTTCATTTTCTAACCTTATGGTGTCATTAAGGGGTAGAATTCCTGTCTAAATTTTCATTTTTTAATGTTCCAGGGTATGATGATGAAACATTTTTTAAATGCCGGGAACTTCTTAAAATAAATTTTAGATAAAATAATACATAATGTACTACGTATCCAGTGGCATTTCATGACTTGGATATAGTAGAACAAACTTATTTAGGGAATCAGCCTTGTGAACATACAATACTGATGGTAATTGTTTTCTTTTCACTCTCTACAGCTTTGGAGCACTTTTAATGCTCCAGAGATGGTCCAATCAGCTCTGGAAAAGTCACTGAAGACACTGCAATTTGACTACATTGATCTGTATATTATTCACACACCCCTCTCTTTAAAGGTAACAAAAAAAAAAGTTCTGTCTGAACACAGGAGAATCTTGTCCCCACAGGTCCCTTTTTGCTTTGTCTCACCATATGTTAGCTGCTTGATTCAGAGACACTGCAGTAAGGAACAAGGAGCTTTTCAGTACTGAACAATTTTCCATATATATTTCTTCCAGATCAGACGTAAAATGGGCTTTCCTCTATATTAGGAATGTGGAGGTAATCAAGAGAACTGATGGACTGAACAGCTATCTATTTCCAGGGTTTATCCAGAAAACAATTTATGTCAAATAGCACACTGAACAGGAGGTTTATATTATTTCTTTTGTTTTAAAGCCTGGAGATGATTTACTCCCAGTGGATGGAAATGGAAAATTGATTTTTGACAACGTAGACCTGTGTGCCACTTGGGAGGTGAGTATTATGTACACATAAAATATGAAAACATCTTTGCAAAATTGCCATGAAAACTTATCAGGACAGGCACAAAACTAGCTTACTGGAGAATGTGTAAGAAAGCAAAAATGAGACCTACCAGTATATTTCAGAGCATAATCCAAACTCTAATAGGGTCTTTAGGAAGAAACTTTTCCTGGAGATTGGTTATTTAGTATTTGTCCACTGTAGGTTTCTTGTATTTACCTCGGAAGCAGCTGATAGAGGCCACTCCTAGAAATAGGACTAACTGGGCCACTGGTTTGCTTTAGTGTGGCAGTTCCTATTATATTACTCACCTGCAGAAAAACATTATTTGTCTGGGAGAATAGGATCATGGAATATTGTAAGTGAGGATGTATTAAGATACAAGACTAAGTTATATTTGTCCAATAACAATGACTAAGATGTGTTCTGAAAGCCCTTCCTGATGGTGTGTTTCTAAAAGAAATAAAGAGCTTCTTTAAACACAAATGTTGTACTGCTTATTTCCTTTCTGGGGGAAATTAGCTATACAGTGTTGAGCTCTGTAATATCAATATAACAGCATCCACATCAGGGATTGTGCTAGTACAACTGTTTTGATTAAAAACAAACTAGCTATAACTGCTACAGAAATCATGTGTAGACCAAGCCTAAAAGTTACATGGTCCCAGGTTACCATGGAAACTTCCTGGAGGAAAGAGGAAGTGGGGCAAGAAATAAAATGGAGGAAGAATTAACCTAGATTTCATTTGCTTTTTTCCTATTTCTGTGTACCTGTTTGTCTGTATGTGATGGATATGGTCACAGAAATCCCCTTGGGACTGTCATTTGATGTGCTGAAATACCACTTATCCTGCCTACCTGCCCTCTTGCGAGCCCCTCAACTCTGTCCTGCTGAGCCAGGCCTCCTCCAGCACTGACACAGAGATGGGGTCACAGCCTTTTGCGATATAATACAGACACTGCGTTCAGCTCAGCACTGGAAGGACTCAGCCACAGGGACTTGCTTTGGAACCCAAATGAAATAAACCCCAGGAATCAATTACTTACACTGAGTTTATAAATAAACGAAGGTGATTTTGTTAAGTATAAAAGGTAGCATTTAAGTGGTCATAAGAGATTGCAGACAGAACAACGCAGGTTACTAAACAAAACAAAATGGGACACACAAGCTAAGCTTAATGCACTAAGAAACTGGGGTATGTCTACACTACAGCGCTAATTCGAACTAACTTAGTTCGAATTAGTTAATTCGAACTAAGCAAATTCGAACTAACGCATCCAGACTAAAAAACTAGTTCAAATTAGCATTTTGCTAATTCAAACTAGCATGTCCACACAGAGTGGACCCTGAACCGGGGTTAAGGATGGCCG